TACTTATTTATAAAATCCTCCATTAACATTAAATCCTCATATCCATAATATTTAATACCAAAATTTTCTAATCCTCCATGTATATAATTTATTATTATTATCCTTTCTTTATTTAACTATATCCTATATCATAACATTTTCCCCCTATTAGTTAAAACTTAACTGTGTCTAATTTTGTTCTTTTTTATTATTGTTGTTATTAATAATCTTTATATATAATTCAAAATTAGCTAAACTTAGTTAAATTCAGTGATAATAGGTATAGTTAAATAAAAATTGATAATGATAGCAATGTATACAATATTGACCTGTTATGATAAGTAATAATTGAGTATGAATAATGAATGTTACCTGAGAAGGGAAGGTTAGAAATATTTTTGGTCTATTTATAAAGATTATTAATAACAATAATAATAAAAAACAACAAAATTAGACTCAGTTAAGTTTTAACTAATAGGGGGGAAATGTTATGATATAGGATATAGTTAAATAAAGAAAGGATATGATAATAAATTATATACATGGAGGTTTAGAAAATTTTGGTATTTAATATTATGGATGTTTAGCTAAAACAGGATATGAGGATTTAATGTTAATGGAGGATTTTATAAATAAGTAAATGAAATGCCAGCATGTGGTTATATATTAAATCTTTGTATATTTTAGGATGAAGGACGTTTAAATAATCATAGTCAAATAAAAGTAGAGGTATGATGATGGTAATATAATAAATATTTGAGTTAAGATATTTGAATTAATATGAATTATATTTGATGACGGTGGAAGAGATGCACAAAAGCCTTTTGTAACCAGCTGATACACTTTCTACAGTATGTAAAGAAAGATTTGTATGTTTGTTTTGAAAATAAAAAAAATCTTTACAAAAAAAAATATTACCACACTGGATCAACTTGGTGTTTTTTTGAAGGTTTTTCTCACTACAACAAAAGATCAATGATATAGACATTGAACAGAGATCTACTCTAGTCATCATACACAACAGTCTTCTGAAAGGCTTTTGAGAGTCATTCAAAATGTATCTCAGTCCATCCTTCCAGTTGTTCTCCTTTTAGAAGGGAAGAAGTTGAACCACCTGGTAACAATCATTTGAGTTCAGTGGCAATCGTGCCCTTGGACAGAGATACGATTGACCTATGAAAGGAAACCTTTCTAAAGCACACTGAGAAAAAAAATTACCACAATGGACATACAGTTGGGGTGGGGGGAGGAAAAGAAAGGGGGAAAAAAGACTTCTGCAGAAATCAAAGTCAATATTTAGTGAGAAAATGGCTGTTGTTATATAACTGCATGCAGTTTTGTGATGTATATGAATCTTTTTGTGCTATGACATCAGATTTCTTGGGTTCATTGTGCAAAAATGTATAAATAACATGCATGAAAAACAAGAGTCTGGGTTTAACTAGTCTCTTGGAAAAACTGTAGATCTGTATTGTCTTTTCTACTGCTATGGTGAATTGATCCAATAAATGGTGTTCCGATGGTGAATGATGGCATCTTGTTACCCTTGTGATCTTCATTCATGGTTTCATTGTCCAGCTGTCCACACCCATGTAACATCCATTCAAGGAGATTAAAAAATATTACCACAGTGGATCAACTTGGTGGGGCTTTTTTAGGTCTTTCTCACTACAGCAAAAGTTCATTGATATAGACATTGAACAGAGATCTACTCTATTCATCAAACACAACAATCTTCTGAAAGGACTTTTTAGAGTCATTCAAAATTTATCTCAGTCCATCCTTCAAGTTGTTCTCCTTTTAGAAGGGAATAATTTCATCAGTGATGCACCTGGTAACAATTGTTTGAGTCCAGTGGCAATCCTGCCCATGAACAGACATNTGTAACCAGCTGATACACTTTCTACAGTATGTAAAGAAGGAGGATTTGTATGTTTGTTTTGAAAAAAAATCTTTACAAAAAAAAAGATGATGTTGGATAGCCATTTGTCTGGAACAGTATAGGATTTCCTGCTTGAATAGGAGGTTGGACTAGAAGACCTCCAAGGTCTCTCCCAACTCTGCTATTGTATTGTATTGTATTAAATATCACATGGAGGCCATTAGTCACCCATATCATGGCTTAGTTTGAATGCTATCAAGTAACAAACCAAACTGAGGCTGTAAGCTCTCTTGAATCACTTATATGAGTAATCTAATTTGTATGAACAAAGATTCTCCCATTCTAGTAATAGCACTTAGACTTATATACCACTTCATAGTGCTTTTACAGCTCTCTCTAAGCGGTTTACAGAGTCAGCATATTGCCCCCAACAATCTGGGTCCTCATTTTACCCACCTCGGAAGGATGGTAGGATGAGTCAACCTTGAGCTGGTGAGATTTGAACTGCCAAACTGCAGCTAGCAGTTAGCTGAAATAGCCTGAAGTACTGCACTCTAACCACTGTGTCCCCTCGGCTCTTTAATATCATGGGTCCTCAAACTATGGCCTCACCAAAGGAATTAATCTGGCTCCTGCAAGACCAAGAGATTGCCCACCCACATCACCCCTCAGGACTCTGGCCAAGCACAGCACTTACCCTTCGGGAGCCCCGCAGACTGGAACTCAAAGATAACACCTTTACTGTTTACTGTTTTGGCCAGCAGAATGTTTTTTGAGGTGGAGGGGGTAAAAGGAGCCCCAAAACTGGGTGAAAAGGGCCCGGTTTTGGTCAAAAAATGAGCCATTTTTGCCTGGTTTTGGTCTGCAGAATGCTTCTGGAGGTGGAGGGGGTGAAATGAGGCCAAACAAACAGGCAAAAACAGCCTGTTTTTCACCTTCCCTTTTTTCCTGAAGATGAGAGAGAGGGAGGGAGGGAGGGAGGGGAGAGACACAAAGATGGAGGGAGACATAGAGAGATTTCTCAAGCTCATTGGGGCTGAGAAGAATTGCTGCAAAACTGAATTTCCTGAAGTGGACCACTAGACTCCTAAACAACTGAAAAAATGATCTAGAAAAAAAAAGGCATGGACTGTTAAATTGGCCATGCCCACCAAGTCACATGACGATCTAGCCACACCCAGACAGCCAGTCTACCCCTCCCAACAGATTGAGGGACCATAAATTGGCCCCGTTTAAAAAGGTTGAGGACCCCTGTTCTATAGCATCAGTCCTAAAGAAAGTCTTTAATATTCCCATGAAATAAGATGCTAAATATCTAAAAATATCATATTATAACAATATGAACAATATGTTATAATATGAATTTGGTCTAACATCATACTTTAAAAATAGTTTATACTTTAAAATGTATTCATATTTCCTTGTTCTTTCCTGCATTTGACATTCTGGGAATAAGGAATGGAGTATCATCTCACTTTTCATAACAAGAATGAAAAATAAAAGGAGCATATAAAATACCAAAGAAAATAAAGCTAATGACAGAATACGGTACCACTAAAGTTAAAATACCTGTTATTGAGCAGTAAATAATACGAGGAGCAACTTTGTTGATGTCATCATAACCCAGACCCATTCCAGCCAGTTTTCCAGGGACATAGTTTTCCACAAGAACATCACAGACAGCTGCAAGCTAAAATGTAAAGTGGGAAAGAATCAGACTCTTAACAAATTTCAAAGCATTCAGCAAGAACAAAAAAAACTATAAATATACCGTATTTTTCGGAGTATAAGATGCACCCTTTTCCCCCCTAAAAGAGAGTGGAAATGTTGGTGCATCTTATATACCATATACAGCATTTTTGGCCTCCAGAAACCCTGCCCCATGCATTCTGTTTCTCTTGAGGGATGATCCACATGCAGTTCCCACCAGCATCCTGAGCTGCAGCTAAAAAGGAACTCCCATCTGACTTAAGAAAACTCCCGCCTGTCACATGGTGAATGTCCTCTACCACTTGAACCAGGAAGGCTCAGCCTCGAGTAAAGGCAGGTTCCCTAAATTGCTGACACAGCATGATTTCCACTTGGAGTGGGAGAGATTGTGCTGTGATTTCACCGTCCCGCTCAACTAGGAATGGCCCATTGGGCAAGGTGGGTTGGGGATCCCTTCCATTTGGATTAATGGTTCTTCACGGCAATGCCTGAGCAGCAAAAAGGAAGCCCAAAGAAAACAACCCGGTAAGGCTGCCTCCTTAAACAACTGCCCTCTTTGCAACCCCGCTGCCTTAATCTCAGGGCAAAAGCTGGTGCCAGGCTACATTCCAAAGTTTCCTTTCCATCATGCAGTTCTTCCACTAGCCAAGATCCCGATGATGCCAATAGTTTTTCTGGAGAGAAAGTGGAGATCTAATGTCCTGAGTAAAGTCTTTGTGGAGAGCAGATTGGTCCTCTTCCCTTCCTCCACCCCCTCCATCTGCCTGGATCTGTCATGCAGCAAAGAGATATGGTAGCTGGGTGCAATAGCAGCAATAGCAATAAGCACTGCATGACAGATCCAGGCGGATTGGGGGGGGGGGGGGGGATGGAGGAAGGGAAGAGGACCAATTTGCTCTCCACAAAGATTTTTTCAGGATGCTAGATCCTGCCAAGCTGCATTCTGAAGTTTTCTTTCCAACGCACGGTTCTTCCACTAACCAACATCCCAACTATGCCAACAGCTTTTTTCAGAGAGAAAGTGGAGATCTAGCGTCCCGTGAAAAGCCTTCGTGAGAGCAGATGGGTCCTCTTCCCTTCCTCCACCCCTCCCCCATCTGCCCAGATCTGTTGCAGTGCTTATTGCTATTGCTGCTATTGCACCCAGCTACCATATTTCTTTGCTCTTTAAATACGGTAATTTAAAAGTTCAGTAAACAAGACAATTTTAGCATATATGTGTTCTATAGAATCCAATTATATAGCTCATATGGCAAGTGCTTTAGAGATGAATTTTCTAGTAAAGTCTTCAAATTGGTCATTGGTTATTCATTATTCATAGTGAAATATTCAACTGTTTTTCAGCAGTAGAAAATGGATCTGAATGAACCACAGAATGATTTAGATAGATCAGAAAGAACCTTGATTTCTAGGGAAAGTTAAAAAAACTGTTTGAGAATTGATTATTTCCTTATAATTATCAAATTATTACTATTGTTGTTATTTGGTTAATCTTTGGTGAGATTCACAGCTTTTGGGGCTGGTTGGTAGCTCAACAGATCAAGTCCTAACCAAGGATCTAGGAACTGTTAAGGTAATGTCGGAGGATATAAGCTGTTCCAAGTTGGTTTTTTGTAGAATCAGAATGTTCAAGTCCAATAAATGTAGAATTTCCAAATAACAAGGTAGCCCTTTAGGTATTGCTCCAAGGGCTCCAGTTACGATCGGGACAACACACAATTTCTTTTTCCACAGTTACTCAACTTCAATTTGCAAGTCCCAGTACTTTGTGATTTTTTTCTTGCTGCTTATCTTCAATTCGTGCATCACCAGGTATTGCAATGTCAATGAACCAAACTTTTTCTTTTCATCTATTGTTACATCAGGTGTATTGTGGGCCAAGTGCTGTCAGTCTGAATTCTGAAATCTCACAAGATCTTGACTTTTTCATTCTTCTCAACCTGATGTTCCCCGTGGTTTTTGCTGTACTCAAATCCAAACTTCTGGCACAGTTTCCAGTGAATGATTTTAGCAACACGGTCATGGCATTATTAGTAGTCAGTTTGTGAAATTTTATTATTGTTGTTGTTGTTTTTATTTATTCTAAAACGTTTTCCAATGTCTTTGTCAAAAATATTCCCAAAGGATCTTTCATGCAATTGATTTTAAAACATAATTTCTGTCCACAAATTAAGTAACAAAGAGGGAAAAGTGACAAAGATAACATGAGGTGGAAAGTGGAGGGGGGGAAGGGAGGGGAAAAGAAATAAAACACAGCAACCAATTATTAAAGTATCAGTTCTGAAACTGAAACTCAAGAATAAGAAGAGCCTAACAGAGCTGCCTGCTTTGCTCATTCAAAATATTTCTTTACTTTGTAATAATCACATTTAATCTATGATTATGGAACCAAGACATAACACAATTTCTAATCCATAGTTCAAGTATGCAGCAGTTTAGAGAACATTCTCTTAATTTCATGATGCCTGAAAAAGTCTCCACTGATATCACTGAAGCTGCAAGGCATTTTCAAGAACAGTTGCTATTATAAAACTGAGAAGAGCTAGAATCCTTTATTCCACAATGTTGCAGAAAAATATTACACATGGGTGAGTAAAGACACATACCAATTAAAACCAGTCAATTAACATAAGATCAATCTGTTTTTGCAGTATTATTTTGGTCTGCCTGTGGAAGAATAGGAGAGAGGGGAAGAATGAATAACGTGTGTTATGAGTCATGGGAAAATGTGTTGGGGATTACTTCTTAAAATGAATAATTTTAATCCATATTGGTTGTGGCCATATTCACCAGAGTTAATATTCTTCCATCAAGCCAATCTATTATTGGGTCAAAAATAGGAACTGCTCTTCTTTTCAATTTCAACTTTAGTTGTCGTTTCTGTCCAGCCAATAATAAAAAATAATTTTAGTTTCATGACAAAAATGTTTCCCTAAAATGATAATGTGAAAGATGTTTCTGCACCAAAGACAAATCCCTTGTATGTCCAATCACACTTGGCCAATAAAGAATTCTAATTCCAATTCTAAAGAATGTAATGGAGAGAAATGTTGAGTGATTTCAAAAAGTACCCTTTATTATCATCACATCACTTTTTAAAGACTCTATACCTAATTATAATTACAATTATAATGATATTTTTTAACCGTATTTTTCGCACTATAAATTGCACTCCCCCCCCCCCTGCAAAAAAAAGTGGCTGGAACTTTCTGTGTGTCTTATAGAGTGAATATTGTGGCAAGGGAACGGGGATTAGTGCACTGCTGCCGCCGTCTATCTTCACTGCAACTGTTCCCCGCCACCATGGAACACTGGAGCCTTTGGTGCCGAGCAGCTAATTGGAGGTTGGATCGGTCTCCTGGAATAGTGCCAATAAGTTGTTCTAGGTGGCAGGGATCACCATCTCCAATCACCACCGTCGTTTATCATCACCAATTGCTGCCATTGCCAGCAATTGGTAGCAGCAGCAATCAGTGGTGAATGGTGGCGGCAGGTGGCAGTGATAGGCGGCTAGAACAGCTGATTGGTGGTATTCCAAGAGGCTGATCCAACCATCCAGCATTTTCCAGCAGTGGCAGCACTTCGGCTCAGTTGACTGGTGGTGGGCACAATGGAGTGGATCCCTGCTAAGTCACATTCTATGGCTGCGATAACATGCTGAAGCTGAGCAGGCTGTTTGCTATTTGCTGCAAAGACGCTAGCCAGATGAATACCAGATGGATGCCGGGAGGCAGAGGCAGATTTTTTTTTTCAATACAATACAATACAATACAATACAATACAATACAATACAATACAATACAATACAATACAATACAATACAATACAATACAATAGCAGAGT